AAATATATTTTAATTTAACTAGTTGAACTATATGCATCTAGATTTGAGAAAAGGTGACATGAAATGGATTTTGTGTCACAGCATACACTTATGTGCCTGGATTTAATGAATTGTAAAACATAAATGCCTTCATTTTAGTAAAAAAAAAGTTTCTTGAGAATATACTTGGTGGTGCTTGTGACCTGTTGGACCCAAAGACACTCAAATGTATGCTGACATTTATGAGTTGGACAACAGGTGTAAAATACTGAAAAAAGAGAGCAGTAATACACAAAAGTTAGGTTTTGTTATTGCTACTCATAATTTAGAAGTTGCCTTTATCAGGCAGAATTGGAAATGGCTCAGATTTGGATAAATCTTCCACAAGAAATGAAAAAATGATATATAAAAATGTGCATTTATGTATTCATGGTTACCATATGAGTCCTCTAGCACAGCGGTCCCCAACCTTTTTGGGACCGCAGACTGACTGAACCTCATGTGTGAAGCGGTAGGGGAGCATGCTCATGCCAGCACAGCTGTGAGTGCTCCCCCATCCCTTCGCACGGCGTGCACAAGGCAGCTTTGGGGAAGGGAATGTCTGTGTGTGTGCACAAGGCAGCTTTGGGGAAGGGAATGCATGCGGGGGTGGGTGGGAGATCTGTCTCCTTGGCCCGGTCCGGCTCAGGCCACAGACCGGGGGTTGACCTCTGCTCTAGCATTTCCTAATTGGCTAATGGCAGCTGGCTTGTGATAAGGTCTTTGTGGTAAGGATCTTCTCTAACCTTTGTTATACTACAGCTTCAGCATTTTATAAAAGGGAACAAATATCATGTTTCAGAGTGCTTTCACAGTTATGCCAAAATCTTGTTTTGCTGTAGTTGTGTTGAAAGTGTATTTTTGAATGAGTTGGATATTATCAGTTGCAAGGTTTGGTTTACTCTCCAAGGACGCTAGACAGAATGCTGACTGCTTGTTTGAAACAAAACTGAGAATCAGCTTTTCTTCCAGCAGCTTTGGCAAGTCCCCTCCTACTGCAGAAGGATTGCACAAAAGGTCCTGAAGTATGGTGTCAGAACTTGCAGACTGCGTCCAACTGCAAAGCGGTTAAACATTGTCGGCAAACTGTTTGGAACAAACCTACTGTGGTAAGTCCTATTGGCATTAAACTGGATGTGACATTAAATTGGTTTCAGATATGTCAGCTTTCCATACTTTTAAACTCACAGTTCAAACAACCAAACAAAGCAAGGATATCAGTTACCTGTTATATTTTGCTACATTGATTTGCAGCTAAGTAGAGCTTTTAAGGGATGTGGTGGGGCTGGATTCCGTGTATAGCCGCGCTGGCCACGTGACAATGGAAACTGTCTACGGACAAACGCTGACTCTATAGCTTGGAGACGGGGATGAGTACCGCCCCCTAGAGTCAGACACGATTGACTAAATGTCAAGGGGAACCTTTACCTTTATAGAGCTTTTACACTTCTAGGATCAGACACACACATTTGCAAGATAGTTGTTCCACAGTATTGTATCTGTTTGGAGAAAGGACAGAGTGGTTTTGACTCTCAGTACACATGGCGAGACTCCGAGCATGATGGTCTTAGACTTCCCAGAAGCAAAGGTTGGTCATCAGAGGGCAGAATTGCTTCCCTGTGTGAAGGAAAATAAGTATCCATGTTCTCTTGGCTGTTAATAGCATTATAAGCCATGTCCTTAAACAACTAATCTATTAGTGCAGTTAAGTCATAAAAGTCTTCATTTAACAAGCTGAGAAGTGTTGTGCCTATGTATCCCTTCTCTCTTTTCTTTGCACTATGGTGGAGCAGTTGGATTTGTTACTGAAGATTCCTGTTTATCTTTTTGAACTGAGAAACATGACAGCCCTTCCTTAAAATCAGGAGGTGAAATTCTGATCAGAGCTGAATTTGTAAAACAAATTCTTGGCTTTGATCCAGTGGGTCTTCTCAGTAGTTGCTCCCAGACAGTAGAATAGACATGGTTTTAAAAAATATTTATTGAACACCAGCTACCAGAATTAACTAGAAATTCCCCCAGTTAGAATTCTGAGGGCTTTACCCAGAAAATCAAAATCCTCACAGGAATTTTCAGTTACACACAGGTTGAGAGTGAAGGATCTGTCAATCACTATGTTCCAGTGAGAAAGCAAAAGTAAATGGGTGGAAGTGGCTAAACTGCACATGAGATTAGGAGACTGGTAGAGGGTTGTTGGTTTGTTTGTTTTTTAGAGGTGATGTGTACAGAGCCTAATGGTCAGACTACCAGTCCCCTGATCACTTGCAGTTTCCACAAAGCTTAGCCATTCCCACACATTTCCTCTATTTTTTTCACTGGACCATAGAGGCTGACAGCCTTCATTCCCCACTATATGTAACTGAAAACTCCTATGAGGACTTTGATTTCTTGGTTGAAGCCCCCAGAATTCTGTCTGGGAGAATTCCTGGTGAATTCTTGAGGCTTAAGAAACACTGAAGTCAGAGGCCTGCTATAGAACTTCCTTTTAAGGGAAGCTAAATTGGCCTCTTCCTGCTGTCTTATCACTTGTGAGCAAAGACCTTTTAATACAGATAGACTGTTAGCAATTGGTCAGCTGTTAAGAAAGGGTTTTTTAACATACAAATGCTCTACTTTTGAATTTATCAGCTTTAAATTTCACTGACCAGACTCCTGTAAGCAGTTGTGAAGTATAACTGCTTTGCAAGCTCAGTGCTCTTGATTAATTCAGTAAACTCTGGTTTGCAGTTAGTCAGGGTACAGATTATCACTGTGTTAAAAAATAACAAGGATTAAATGTGTGCAAGAGGTGGTGAAGTGTGCACTTGGCATGAAGACAAGTGTGTTGTCCAGTGAGCTGTTGCATGTGTTTTTATTTGCATTTTTTAAAGCTTGTTGTGAACTGACTGGAGTCTCTGTCGAGGAAGAAAGATGGGTTCTAAACAGTCAAACAGTGGCTTAGTAAGTCATGATGGAAACACCAGAGGCATATATCCAAATAGTGGGAGAAGGGAATAAAAGGATAAAGCATGTGAATTTGAACCAATAAACAGTGGTTTTATAAGACCTATGTCCTTGATGTTCTGCTTGAAATCTTTAAACTTGTCAGATGTGTCACTGCTGCTAAATCTTTTGTGTATAGAATCTGTCAGAGTGCACTTAGAGGGTAATCAGATTTATGGGATTTTTAATATGACCTTAGTACTTCTGTATTGCATCATGAGTAAGATTTTTAAATACACTACAGTATTCTAAAAGATGTTTAAGACTGGTCTATCCATGCTTGGAGTTCCAGTAAAGCTATAACATATTTATGTGTGATCTGCAACAGTTAATCTTGCATCAATTAAGTGCAGTGAATTCATGTTCTCTTATATCAAGTCTTATTCCATGTTATTCCCATTGAAAGTAAAAAGGTGAAATTGGTTTCAGATCTGTCATCTGTATCAAGGACAACCTTTCTTGCAGTTTGCCATCCCTTCTAACTGTTGTTTCTTACAGAAGAAGAAGCTTGGCATCTTTTTGTCTTCTGTAAACTTGGCAACAGGTCTATTTCCCACCTTTTTACTGTGTAAAAGAACATGAATTCATTGCACTTAATTGTGATATTTTTGAGAGGAGAAAAAGTGGTGTATTAGGTAACAATATGTTCACATACTTTTATTAATTAGAAATATCTTGTCTTTTCAGAAAAGCATCCCTTGTGACTTGTGTAAAGAAGTGTTGCTGTGGCTGCAAAAGTCTTAAAGGACAATGCCACTGAGGTAAGAAGGGCCCTTTTTCTATGAGGTGGGTTTTGCATCTCATCTGATAGATAAATAGTGGGACAATAAAACTCAGAGTTGTCCCTTCATGCTGATACATTGCCTTTGAAGAAAAACTTGTCATGAGTATGCAAAATATATTGTTTTTCCTAACATGGAGATAGTCATGTTGAAATTAGTGTGTGACTGACATCACATTTCCTTAGATATAAGACTATATTTATACATTTAGGAAAATGTGGTGTTAATTTCTTTAGTCCATGAAAAGGGGGATAATTTTCATTATGCAGGATGGATCAGTTTAAATCATGGTTATTTGAATCGCAAATCCAAGTCACAAATAGAAACCCCTGGTTTAAATAGTCAAGTCAGATAAAAGTGTCCCAGTACTACTTCACATATTCCTTAAAACAGTGGTACAGATTTGAGATGAAAATTTGTCAATTTACAATGCAGTAGAGTAGTTTGCAATGACAATTTCATCCTCTTCGTTTATTTGCAGTAAACAGTTTTCATTAGGATTTTTTATTCTTTTAGCTAGACTTTGCATCTGCTTGTACTGCTTTACACTAGTCACATTTTCCTTTTTTTTTTTCATCTGGGGAAGGCGCCTCCTCCCCCAGATATTCCCAATAGTCTCTTTCAGACCCAGAAGACCTTATGACAAGCACTGTCTCGGTTATTCCAACTCTGTTTTCTGTATCATATCCCAGGCCTAATTGAAACCTCTTCTTTCTTTGGTCCAGTTCCACCTACACAAGCAGCATCCAAGTAAATAAATAGTAGCTGAATTCCAGTAGTGAATTGCAGCTAGAGTAGACCCGTTGAGTAGTTTGCAAATCACTTCTGGATTTCAGCTACTACTTATTTACACTTCTTAGACATCTTTTTCTGAGAAAGGCTCAAGACATTTTATTTTTATAGCTAAAATCCTCTTCTGCAATTACATTGGCAGAAAGGCAGTGGCATAACTTGTAGCATCGAATTTTCATTGATTCACGAGTCAACACTTGGATTCCTCATTCCACATTAATGTAGTAAGTTGGCATACAACTAGGAATCTCAGCAGTGATTGATTAATTAGTGGCAGTCTTCTGCAGCAGTGGTCCCCCTTGTTTCTGGGATCACGGACCACTTCGGGGGTGCAGGCTTGGTGCACGGACCGGCTCTTCAGGGGTGCAGGCTTGGTGCACGGACCGGCTGGGCGGTGGGGGCAGCCCCGTGCTGGCGGGTGGGAGTGTCACACTTGCAGAGGGGTGTGTCGCGCTCACATACACGTGTGAAAAGGGGAGCCTGAAACTAGACCTCCCACCTCCACACTTGCAAGACATACCCCCCAAGAGTCCTGTCTCTCCCACGGCACTGCCACTGGTGGGCATCACTTCTGGTGGGAGAGATGGCAGGGAGGGATGAGAGAGCCACCCGGGTAGTCTCCGCACTAGTCTCACAAACGATCAACCGACAAACCAACCTTGCTACCTGGAGGTTGGGTGGGAGGATGGGGTTCCCCCCCCCCCCGTGGCTCCGGCAGCAGCAAAGCAGCCCTTCCTAGCAGGATCTGAGGAGGCGATCCCCGGTGTTACCTTTGCCTTTCCCCAGGATGCGGCAGCACAGTTTCTGCAGGAGGACATTGGGAGACTTCTGATCCAGGCTCGCCATCCTAGCATTGGGGGGAGGGGAGAAGGTGCACCCTCACAATTGGACCCCCACCCCAACTTCCGAGGGCCGCTTCTCCCCCGCCCTGTCTTCGCCTACCCTGTTATTTAAGGTGCCATTTTAATAGAACTGGCGAAGGAAAGGGAGAGGGGCAGGCAAAACCACCATGGCTTTCGAAGGTGGCCTCACAGCTCGGGCGGTGTAACACTGTACCCTTTCTGTCGCTCTACCGCGGAAATGTGGCCAAGAGGTTCCGCTTATTGATGAATAAGCGCCATCATAAAACACGAGACAGGGGTGGGATGGAAGAGAGTGCTTCTGCATCTACTACGGTAGGCCATCAAGATTGTTACATATACATATATATTTAAAAAGACATCCCCACCCCCCCAGCTCAATCAGAAGTGCTAAATCTTGTGCTCAGGATTTGCTCAGAGATAAAGGGTGCATGGCTGTTTTTGCTGACTTGATAGTGATTAGATATGGTCCAATGCTGCTTTCAGAAACACTGCTGAAGCAACCTCTTTGGTGCATCTTATCAGGGTTTGAGGGTCATTGAAGGTTTCTTCACTGGCCATGAAAGGTGGGCAAATAGTTCCTTCTTTAAGAAAATGTACACTAATCTATTTATTTCATTTATCATAGGAAGAAATATATGCCTATATGACTAAGGCATGTGAGTTTCTTCCTGACCAAGATTTGGTAACTCAGTGCAAGGACATGGTGGATGCTTACTTGCCAAACATTCTGGATATGATCAAAGAAGAGCTTGTAAGTACTGTCGATTACTAAAGCTGAAGCATTTCTATACCAAGAAAAAAATGCTTAGAGTAAATGAGATAGGTTTAACTGACTGTCATGATTACTTGGTTAGCCTAGTACCTGTAACTCACAGTTTGTATTGTTGAATGTAATACAGGCAAGGGCATTTTGCTATATTGTTGTCTCTTGATCTTTAGGATAACCCAGAAGTTGTATGCAGTGCACTCACATTGTGCCAGTCTCTTCAGAAGCACTTGGCAGATATGAAATTGCAGAAGCAATTTCAATGTAACAGGATTCCTGAACTGGACTTCTCTGAAGTGGCTTCTCCCTTCCTGGCTAATGTGCCACTTCTTCTTTATCCCCAGGACAAGCCTAAGCAAGAATCTCAGGTGAGAATTTAAAGTCTTAAGGGGAAAGGGGTTGGATAAGAATGGGTTTATTTATGTAAAACGTTTTAACAACTATATACACTGCATTCATGAACAACTTGTATTTGTGTACAACATTGGTGAAAATATTAGCTTTGATTTTTAAAGTGTACCCTGTTATTTGACTCCATCTGCAAATTGTTGAATATCGAAACCTAAGGTTAACATAATAGCCCATTGATTGTTCACCGAAAAGAGACAATACACAACACATCAGAACAGGTGTGGCAAAAGCAACTGTTGTACTAACCCAGCAATCTCCAAACTTTTCACTGTGAGGGCCACATAATATTTTTTCCACATTTTTGAGGGCTGAAGGAACATACGTGTGCATGCATGGGTCGGATAAAAAGGCAAGGCAGGCCGCACTTTGGAGACCCCTGTATTAACATAACAGAAACCCAGTATTAACATATCAGACTTAATTTAAATCGTGATTTTTAAATGTAAAGACTCATTCTTGCTGATATTTTTTTAAATATTTGCAACCAGATTATTTCATATTTAGAATAATAAACCTGTCAGATTAGTAAAACAGCTATAGCAGAACTGATTTTTGTTTAATAGGTTAACCACTCATATTTAGAGAACTAGTTAATTTGTTTTATTTAAAACAATAACATATAGCGTACATATTCTTGTATTTGCTCAAATAAATAAATAAATAAATAAATAAATAAATAAATAGCGTACATATTCTTGTATTTGCTTAAACATCAATTTTTATTAACTGAAACAATATCTTTTTAAAATGCAAACTATCTTCCAAACAATCTTCAAACCTAGCTTTTAAGGTATGGTAGGTGTTACATACAGCACTGATGTTACCTGTCTGTCATGGGTTTGGAGGGAAAGTTCCATCCTATGGGGAGTGGAAGGCGGGACATCAGGAGGAGGGGCTGTACTGTATATATATGTGGAGCGTGTGTAGAGTTAGGAGAAGCTGGAGAAGAGCTGAGAGCAGAAGCTTGAGTGGGAGTCTGTGTGTCAGACAGGGTACTACTGTGTGTCAGTCAGTACCAACCTGATAGGTTCAGGTGTCTGTAGGGTTAGCCAGAACTGATAGGTTCAGGGTCTGTGCTTCAAGTTAAGTGTTCTGTGTGAACCAAACTGTGTGTATGTATGATTGAGACTAAGCCACGTTACTGTATCTTATTCACTTGATCATTTTATTTTCCCTGTGTGTTATTTAAATAAACCTTATTCTTTTGTTTGTTTAAAAATCCATTCCTGGTCTGTGTGACTCCTTACAGGGAATGGTTGGTGGCAGCTTAGTGAAACTGTGGCATATCCCAGTAGGTCTGGGGTTGTCACAGTAGGAACCCAACTATCTGCAGAATAAGAATCCGCTCACTTATCCACTGCCTGAAAATACTAAATACCCCTCTCCCGAAATACGTATTTAAATATATTCCAGGGTGTATTTACCAGAACTAGCCACTAGAGGGATCCAGAGACCATGCAAGGTACAGCATTTTCTACATCCGCATTTTTTGGCATTCACAGTGAGGCTTGGAACCAATCCCCTGTGGATACCACAGTCCTACTATAAAACATTCATTGTTTGTACATTTGCAGAATGACCATGGGATTAAGGTCTTTTCCTGAACTTCGTTTATTTTACACTATTTTTTACTGTGAAAACAGCATTTCATTAAAAATCTGATTTAAATTTTAAAGATCCATTTTTTAAAGTCATAGATTTTAATCCTCCTTGCATGGTGAGCTACTCATGTAGAAATGGAAGCAGCAGAGCTGTGCAGTTGAAATCAAGTGATAAAGAAGAACAGAAAGAGGAAAGACAACTGCTGAGATGATGCTGGGAGACAATACTGGACTGAAGTGTGAGGGGAAAGAAATTAAATCACAAAACATCTCATACTTTGTTAGGTGCATCAAAATTAACTAGATTTCTGAGTGTACCTAAATGGCCTTCTTCAGTCTGGAAACATTACAGTACATTCTTTGAAGCTTGTACATTCTTACAACTTTTCCTTGGGGACCTTTCTTTCTTCTGGATTTTTGGCCTTATTATTAAATGCCGCACTGGGGCAGTGGAATAGCAGTGGTCCAGTCTCTTCATGGTAGAGCTAATTAGTGTAGGTATAAAGGGTTCAAATTATGCCTTGTTGTAAATAAGTTGAATTGGACTAAGCTATATGCTGTGAATAGATTATTCCGAGATCTCACCTGAGGTGAGTCGTTACTGGTTTATGAAATGTGTTTGTGGTGTCTCTCCTGAAAGTAAATGTTGTTATTGATAATTAATCAAGACACTCCAGAAAATATGATAAAGCTTTCCTCCCCCCCCATTAAAAGCAGCATGAAGTCACTGCATTGTTAAGATATCCTGCTTTTTTTTCTTGCAGGGAAATGGGGATGTGTGTAAAGACTGTGTTCAGCTACTAACTGACTTGCAGGAGATGGTGAGAAGTAATACAACATGTGTGACTTCTTTAATCAATCATGCCATGGAAGAATGTGAACGTTTGTTCCCTGACTTTGCTGATATGGTAATTGAAGAGTTGATCATGTTTACGTTATCATATGAAAATATAGTATAGTAAAGTGGCAAAATGCTTATGGAACTATTTCTTCATGCTTTATTTTCTTAAAGTTTCTTAAGTACTAGCAAAGATGAAGCATCTTGGTTTCTGTAGTGTCTCTCTGACACCCCCTTTACAAGGTCTAGTATATTTGTCTAGTCTTTGTGGTCAGCATGTCAGACTAGGTCACATTCCCCCATGAGTCATCAGTCTTACTGGATTACTTTGGACTAGTTCCCATCTCTGAGCCTCATCATCCTCATAATAACCCTGTGAGTTAAAAGTGGGAAATGAAATGCAATGTAGATGCTATCCTGCACTCCTTAAATTAAAAATGTGCAGTTTATAAATCTATATTTTAAGTTGTAAAGGAGGCCAGCTTACTTTTTAAGGCACTATTAAAGGTTGGGATATACATGGCTACAGCTGGAAATAATGTGGGATTTACCCTATCTCAAATCTGTTTTCTCTCCAATAGTGCAAGTCCTACATCTCCCAGTATTCAGATATGGCTATCCAGATGTTGATGCATATGGTGAGATGAATATTACTTACAGTTTTATATTATAGTCTGTTTTGTGAGGTTCCTTGTGTTCCAATATCTTCCACCAGAAGTAATTTAACAAATGTATTAAATTGCCATACAGTGGGGTCTAGACTTAAGAACGGCTTGAGTTAAGAACATTTTGACTTAAGAACCACTCTCATAGGAAAATATTGACTTGATTTACATACTTAGATTTGAGTTAAGAACTGAAAAAAAACCACGTGGGAGGCAGGGAAAGTGCAAAATTTGAACTTTCAGTTAACTGTTGGCCAGTGAAAAGGCTGCCTGTCTGCTTCCTCACTCCTCCCAGTGTTTAGAGAGTGGATTGGGAGACAATCTTCAGACTGCCTGGGACTGGACTGCCTGGACTGTATTTTCCCTGCCTTCCCTGAACCTTTCTTGACCTAAGAAAAAAGAAACAAAATATCCCCCTCTAGTGGTCGAAGGCGGAATAGCAGCTTCCCATTAGTTTCTATGGACGGAAAAGAGCAGCTACGGATCAAATGGTTTTCAATGCATTCCTATGGGAAATGCAGATTTGACCTGAGAACTTTTTGACTTGAGAACCGCCTTCCAATATGGATTAAGTTCTCAAGTCAAGACCCCACTGTAATGGACATTTGACTGGCTCTATTAAGTCAAATTTAATTGAATGTTTAAAACTCAGGTACTAAACATATGTTTCTTGTGTCAAGAGATATAACTATTAAAGATTAATTTTCTTTCATAAGTGCATACCTAATCACGCACAACCTTCTGTGTGTGAGCTAAAGTTTAAAAGCTACTGAGCCCTCCGTCCAGGCCTTAATGTAGCAGGAACAAATGACATTCAGAATGAACAGAATTGAGTTCTTTGTGTACATTTCCATACTGCTTTCAGTATTGCAAGTCAGTCAGAAATGAAAAAATGATTTAGAGCCTAGCAGAACAAGAATAATATATTCTACTACAGATTTATCCTCCCACAAAACAAGTTGTTTGTCTAGGCACCAGTCAGCTGCTTGATTGTTTTCTTGTTGTTAATTGTCTTGTCTTCCTTTCTCTCCATTCTGTCAACAGCAGGACCAGGTATGTGAGAAGCTTGTTTGTGGTGGTGTGTTGCTTTCCTCCCTCCTGAGAGGCTATAGTTTAATCCCTTGCTAACTTTGTTTGTAGATGTGATGTGGTTGAGTACTGCTTTGACAGATTCAAGGGACTGATAGTGGCTTTGGAAAATGCTATTTCCCAAATGCCAGTTGAAATGTCAGCTTTAGTATTCTGAACCAAAATTGTGAGTCTGTTTGGAAGTCTTCAGATTCTGAAGCTCAGTTAACATGCAAAGGAGTCCATGAATTCTGGACATTCTACCTTGTAGGGGAACACAGCAAGGGAGGGCTTTGGGCACCCCCAGAACATGATTTGGGATAGCTGTTAACCTTTTGAGTACATGTTCCTGAAGACCTTGTGCCTGTCATTGTTTAGCTGGCAGTAAATGCTGCATGCGTGCAATGTTAGCTCTAGCATTTCTTCGGGTGTACTAAAGGCAGTGCATGAATGAGGAGAACATGTGGTTGGGAAGGACTGGGGAGAGGAAGAGCTTTTCTAATGTAACTAGAGATGGTGCTGAGCTTCTCCTTCTGGTATATCTGCTGTTGCATGGGAATGCTACGGAGCCTAACTTTAAAATGCTGAAGCTATATGCCTTAAATGGCGGCTTTGAATATGAAGAAAGTTGCATCTTGTATCTTAATGTCAACTTGTAAAGAAGGAAAGATAACGGCATCTGACTTGAATTGAGATGAATAAATGAACGAATGAACGAATGAATGAATGAATGAACTACATTCCTCAAAAGTTGTGTGGAAAGACACAACCTAGATAACTTTCTTCTTCTGTGGCTTATTAGGAACAGTTACTATTATAGCACTTGTTACACTAATATCATACCTTTCTGTAAATGCATGCTTCTAGATCTGCTAGGTGCTTCGACCCTTGGATAGATGCTATTTAATAGAGAGCAGATGAGATTTCACAGTATGCTATAGTGTACCATGACAGCAACAATGTGCAGTCAGCTTTGAGTTTGGATGCTTCCCATCTCCTCCCCGCCCCCCCAATGTGGCTGCAAGGAAGCTATCAAGCTTTCATTGTAGGTTTTTCTAAATTGCCCCAGCTTTTATTTTATTTGAAAATGGACTGTTGTGATTAGTGGAAGCTCTTCTTTGTTGAACAAGCCAACACAAAGTTGTGGATAATAAAGCTGGTTTGTTTTAACAAACCATAGTTGATAATTAACATTCAAAATTGATAATCAAAAGTGAGAATGTTCAGTTTCCTTATAGATGAAGAGGGAATGTATGCCCTCACAATGAGCCATGTCTTTTATTGTATTCATGTTAGCTCACTAGGCAAAATCCTGTTGCATAACTTTGTGCCTTGCATTACCTGGATTGATGCTGGAAATATTTAACACTAATTAAAAGTTTCCTACCCACCCACCCCGGTTTTAGGTTCTGAAGCTCCCTAGGGCTCACTTTTCTCCTAGGGAAGTTTTTGGGCCTTGGGATGGCAGAGGGGAAACCTTTAAAAGTGAAATAACTACCAGATTGATGGTTGTGATCTGGATCCCAGCGGCAGTGTTCTGGTGGCAA